CTTTTGAGCCTGCCCTTGACTCTTTTGCTGACAGCCCTTGGCGTGGTCTACCGCCTTTCCTTTTATGACAGCAAGGCTGCCACCCTCTGCACTCTCCTCGCTGCCTATCCATGTCTCCTCCACAAGATCAGAGAGATCATCGATCTTTGTTTGATTCCCATCGGAATCAACCATCATCAATCGACGACCCTTCTTCTTTCATTCTTGTGGGGGCTTCTTCTTCCTACCCTCCATAGCAGGTTGTTGTGCTCCTCCTAGCTTAGCCTCTAAGTCCAAGGCCTTCTTGCTAAAGGAGTCAAGAGTATGATACTCGATGCTTGCCTCGCTGACCATCAAGTTTTTTATGTCTGTGGGAAGACATCTCAGATACACGGTGAACAAGACTTGTGGATCATAGCGGACACCAGAGACGACTATGAGTTTCTCCACGACAGTGGTGAGCTCACGCGCAGACTTGTACCTTCTAGTATCAAGTCGGGACAACGCATCAGTGGCCTGCCTAGCCTGTTGTGGGTTGTGCCATCACGTTTCAACCAACGCCATGAAGCTCTCTAATGTGTGGGTCTTTGCCCAATCATTCATCCGCCGGCCAAATCCCTCGGATGCCACTATTCCATCTAGCCATCTTGTTGTCGATCCCTCAAGATATGAGGGGATAGTGATCACCTCTTCTTCTAGCAACGTCCTTTTCGCCCTTACCCACATTGGAACCGCCTCAACCATGTGTCGAGTGCCTGAGAAGGTAGAAGGTGGTTTCAATGGAGTCTCGGGGTACCAAGGCTGTTGTGGTCCCATTTGTGGGACCTGCTGCTGCCTGTAGCTGCAGCAGCTGGACCCGAAGATGAAGAAGCAGCAGCCTATGCTGCTGTTGTTGACGTTCCACTTGATGGGATGCCAAATTGAGGGACAAATGGGCCTATCATTGTCGATGTAACAACTGGTGATGGAAATGTTGCTTGCGGCTGGACACTCTGCCCGCCAGGTAAGGAGGGATGTAGTCCTCCTCTTGCCTGCATGGCATTCAATATCCGGTCGAAGGTGTCATGGATAGAATCCATGTATGGATACGTGCTCAACATACCCACCTTGAGGATCTTTCCCGTATTGTCAATCGTCGAGTGGTCTAACCCTTCTATTGCAGCCTTGTATGCCCTTTTGCTCTCTAATCTGGCTTTCCTATTTTTAATCTCATTTTCTCTTTCACGAGCTTCCCTAACTTCCTTCTCTAACCGTAAGCAGATCAACTCCACCTGTTGGAGTTCTATAGCCTCTCGTGTGCGAGGAGGTGGCGAGCTGTACTGCGAGCCCACCATTTGGCTTGAAGAAGTGCCTGCACTCATCCCACTGGAAGTAGGTTATGATCTCGACGGCATGCCTAGTGTCTTCTCACCCTGAGAGGTAGCAGCAGAGGTTGCCATTGCTCTGGTAGTACTTCTTGCAGCTGCTAGTGCCTGCTCCGCTGCTGCTGCTACTTCCCTAGCCCGCTGCAAACATTCAGCCTCCGTCGCACGTCTTATAGCTCTTTCGCACTCGGATGGTAAAGCCTGGTGCACGATGGGATCCTAAGTGATTTCTAACGTGTCACCCTTCTCCTTTGTCCTCCTCACCACCTGATCCACTCGTCAATCGAGCAGATCACTTTTTGCACTAGAGCCGTCACTGGAGCCTACCACAGCATGTGTCTGACCGAGTTGAAAAATATTTAAAAATCAATAAATAGTCGGCGAGTCAACTAGGCTACCGATCAAGTGGTGTCAACAACATTTACACAGACTAAGCAAACGATTTATCCCTACTTCGATTAGTTCTCTTACAGTAGCAACGAATCAGAACTGGCTATGGTAGACTACTATAGCTCTTGTTACAGACTCCGCCAGGGCTTGATCCCTGTTTGTGGGTTACCACCCACCAGCTTGCTGTATTTGTTTTCTTTTTGTTTTGCAATTCTTTTTGTCTTGGGGAAACTATGTGGGAGTCACAAAATGAGTTATAGTTGCACTATGGGCCAAGATACAGTTTCGAATTGCAATTTGGGCAATGTATACAACCCATTTTTCTGGCCAGGTAGGGTGCCCGAAGTGCAATTGCAAATTGTATCGTGCCCCATAGTGCAATTATAACTCGTTTTTGTGACTCTACTGAAGTTACCCCTTTTGTTTTTTATTCTTGCTTTTCTAATTTCGAATAGTTGGCGCCATCTGCATTCTAGCACCCATTTTCATATTCTTTCTTTTGGGACTTTCGGGTTTCGGACACTTGGCGCCATCCGACATTCTAACGCCCACTCTCAAACTTCCGATTTTCAGTTCTGGCCCTGAGGCATTTTCACTTTCGCCTCAGGACCGTACTTGAGTCGGGTACTTATGTACGAACTCAAGCCCAGTACGGGCACCAAGTTTTCAGCCTCAGTGCTTGTGTTCAGTGCGCCTTTGCTTCCACATTGGGTTCTGGAATTCACAACTGCGACTTTGCGACGTTTGCCACTTGGTGTCTGCGTCCATCGAGTCGTGTCGAGACTGCGTTGAGTTGAGTGAGCGTGTGTTCTCTCCCTCTCCCTCTTTCTCCCAGCCTCGCTGCTCTGCCTCTGCCTCGTTACACTGGTATCAGAGGAGTGGCGATCACCCTCCCGCCCACCCTGATCGACGCGGAGCAGTTTCAACGACGCCATGCCATCATCTTCATCGTCGTCTTCGAAGTCGACATTGTGTTGTCATCATCTTCAACGTCGACATTGCCACGTCATCATAATTGTTGCCACGTCGTCACTGCCACGTCATCGGCGATCCTAAAACGCTGATGCGCAAGTACGTTATTACTTTTTTTTTCTTGCTTTCTTTCTTCTTCTTCAACATTGTTTCTTCTTCTTCCTCTTCGACAACTTTTCTTTTCTCTTCTTCTTCGTCGTTTCTTCCTTCGTTTCTCCTCCTTCTCTTTCCTTCTCATCGCCCCCGCCCCCCGTCGTTCTCTGAAATTGAAAATCTCAAAACCGAAATCAATTCAATTTCGATTCCGAAATCCAATCCATTTCGATTTCGATTCGATTCTTTCCGCCCCCCCCACCATATTCACGGTCATCATCATCATCATCATCATCATCATCATCATCATCATCATCATCATCATCGTCATCATCACCATCATCATCATCGTCATCATTATCATCATCGTTTCCCCCCCAACACACGCTCTGCTCCCCCCCCTCCCCAGTATTTTCTTCT